TAGTAAAAAAAAAGATATATATATTGTATATATATAAACTTTTGTTATTTTATCATAAATATAATTATAAACTAAAGCTTCAGGGGCAGGTGGTAAGGGTTTTTACTTTCGAATCGATTTTTTTCTCTTATCTTATTATTCAACATTTCAAGAATATGTCCTTAAAATTTTAGGTCGATAGAAGCAACATTCTTAAAGTTATTGTCTTATTAATCTCCTGGCCTTTAACGCTCCAACTCTAACTGCTGCGGGCGGTCGGTAGAGTTCATAAACTTTAGTCGCATTTTTCTCAAAACTATTTATTCAAAGTCCGTGTTCACTGTCATTTTAAAACTACTTGACCGATTAATTTCAAACTTTTTACACATTTTCGAAATATAAAATAGTAAAAATTGTTTTTTTTACATTAAGGGTGTTTTCCACCCTTTAAATAGCCGCCAAAAATTTTTAAATAAAAAAAAAAGTTGGGAGGAAGATTTGATTATAATTTAACTAATTTTTCTTGGTTTTTTTTTATCAGATAATTTCCAGCCGAGTTATAGTGACCACCGCAAATTGTTTTTTTCTCAAGACGTTCTAAGGGAAGCTCTGTTACCGGCTTATGCTACAATATTCCTGCATGAAAAAATTACCCTATATTGTCAAAAGTATGCTCAATAATGTACAAAAGGTCCGAATAAAATTACTCAATCCATATTTAAGAAAAAAATTACCTTGAAACCCTTACCCAACCTTCAGGGTCTCTCAAAGAGTTTTAATATTCAATATTAGGTGCCCAATACGACTAAAGAATTTATAAGTAAACAAGTATTTAAATAAGAAAAGGCTAAGGTCATCATCCAAAGAAAAATGATGTTTGATAATTAAAAAAAAAAACTACTAAATAAACTGTTTTAAAATTTTGAGGATGGGATGAGGATTTACACAAATTTAATGAGTTTACCCAGAAAATTAAAAAAAAACAAGTACTTACAGTAACTTCTGTGCTATAGCTATAATAGGCTGCACAAATACTGTTCAAAAAATCCTAACAAGAGCTTGATTTTGATCGGTCAGTTTGTATTGCAGCTATATGCTATAGTAATCCGATCTGAAAAACTTCTTCGAAAATTGTACCCTTGTCTTAGAAAATAGCTCAGGCCAAATTTGGTGAAGATCGTTAAATTAAAAAGTTTTCCATGCAAGCACTTGATTCCGATCGTTCAGTTTTTATGGCGGCTACATATGTGTTATAGTAATCCGATCTGAGCAATTTCGTCGGAGATTGCACAATTGACTTAGACAATATACTATAATTAAGCCTCTAATTAAGATAAAACACTGTAATTTGGCTCTACACCCTAATAGATTTAATAAACATAACTCACGAACCACTACTGCTATATTTGCTGAGAAAAATTTTAATATTCTATATAATCTAGCATCTCCTCATCCTATCGCGATAACTCACTAAATAAAACGACGAGAAGCATCAAATTTTACAAAGGGGTTGACACTGCCCCCCTTTAGGTGAAATGCTACATCTCAGGAACTACTTAACCAATTTAAATCATATAGCGCATAACATTATCCTGACATTCTTATGTTACGCAGTGAAATATGGTGAAATCAGACTAAAACCACTCTTTTTCGTATCACAAAATTTTCATTTCACGCCTAAATATTGTGAAAATCGGGCCGTTACTTTTCAAGATCACTGGTACCGTATATGTGGACCTCAGTGCTTATGACTGAGTTTTTACTGAAAATATCGGAAAATCTGTGCCATATTTTATATTAATGAAATTTAAAGATAATATTTTCGCGATAATAAGATACCTTTGTGTCATAAATTCGTAAAAATGCTCTAATAATTCCCCTAGCCCTCATATATCTAATATAATAATTTCCGACTATTTATAAAATATGAGATATTTAAATAAATGAAGTGGACATGCTTTTTTAAAGACAATGTTATTTAGCGCTGAACGCGAATGAAACCTATCTAGACCTTAGTCTAAGCCCCATACTCCTGAAATAACGGTATCTGCGCCTCTCTTTCGTCTCTTTAGATGAGTTTTTATCTCGTATGTCTCAATTAAATTCAGCGAGTAGATTTTAATTAGCATTGTGTCGTTCGGTATGTAACTTTCTATTCCTTCTCAGTGCATGAATAAATTTTTGGCATTTCCTCGAAAACCGGTTTTGAATTGTTATGGAAACTCTTATGGGAGGTTTGCTTTTATACTTTAGTCAAAATAATTTTGTTGCGCAATATCATTTACCAGACTCATATAAAAAAATGAAACGCGACCACTTGTAAGCAATGAGTAGAAAATATAAAGCTTTTGAAAAGTCCGTAGAATGGGGATATAAGTTAAAAGCCTCTGGGTTTTCATTCATTTCTGAAAAGAAATAGGGCACATCCTTTGCATCGCAAATCGTGGTCAAGTGTCTAGCAGTGTGCTTAGAAGAGGGACCAAAAATTCCACCTACGCCATTCTGGAATAAAATAAAACTGTGGTAAACGTGTATTATAAGAATGATTCAAAGTTTTAAGTTTACCTGTAATAGTTTACATAATATGCCATAAGCTTGAAAGGAATCTCCGTAATTTACCTCCTCTTTTATAACTTCCAGAGGTATTTTTATTTCGGCATTGGCTACTTCAATTGCATGCTCAACAATGAGACCCATTTCTGTACTGTACTGATCAGTTACTAAACCTAAAAATGATTTATATATTATTATATTTATATAGTATAACAAAGCTATCGAATTAATGAATCATCAATTAATTCTCAGTATTATTAGTACAAATTAGTAATATCGGATGGACCGTCTGACAGAAAATTATAAGGAAACATTAAGCAAATCGTTCATGCTACCGAGTAGTCAATATATACAAGTAAATAAGGGCTAAGATAGGGTGTAAGAGAACATTTTATACTCTTACAACTTGCAAGGATCAAAGCCGGGGGAATATCTTCAGCTGTTTCAAAACTTGAAACCGAATGGATTACAATCAAATTTTGTAACGTATTAACTTATGTATACTATAGGTTGTAGACTCACTTAGTTTCATTAATCTCAATCAATGGGTCTAAATTTAATACATGTTGTATATGAGGAAAACATCAACTAAAGGATGAGCAATCCAAGAAGAAAAACGGGACATTGACCCGATTTCATTTATTTTTGACATTATCACATAGGTTAAGTGATCTCACTGCGAGGCTTAAAACGCCGGTCCGTTGTGGTGCCACATTACCACTTATTATTAATAGAAAAATATGCTCTCTGAGCTTCCTTAAGGTACCCCAAATACCATCACCACTGTTACCAAAGTAGGCGTAGCCCCGCCCCTAAATGGTTTAATGTACATAACATCCAAGCCGCTGAAGCTAGCTTAACCAAATTTGCAGGGAGGAAGTTTATTTAGCAATTTTTCACACGCTGTGAAAATGGGTAAAATCAGATAATAACCACGCCTACTGACCAATAACGGTTATGTTGAAAACTACTAAAAGTGCGCCATAAGCATTCTACAATATTTAACAAACAAGATGGTAGGAAAGAGTTTTATAGGAGGAGATGTGAAAATTGGGAAATGGGTGTGGCACCACCAACCTCTAGGTGAAATCCTATATTTCAAGAATTATCGAACTAATTTCAACCAAATTTGGTATGTGACGTTACCCAGTCATTTCTATCACACACTGTGAAAATGGGCGAAATCGTAAAACGACTATAAAATTATGCAGCTAAAAGCATCAACTATCCATGCTATCATATGAATAACAAATTTACTGAAACGCATCCTTAAAGAAAGTGAAAATAATAAGTACATATGGCTTAAAATACTAAAAAATACGTTTTTGAAGCACTTAAAACTAAAAATCGAAAAATAGTTCTGTATATAAACTGACAGTAATATTGACCGAAAAATACTTATATTTATTATTGCCGCCTATCCCAACCTAATGTTCACGTTTTCCATATTGTCTAAAAATAGTATATATTTTGTGGCACATTATTAATGTGATATATTTCAACTTTACCTATTTGTATTGTTTTAGATAAACTATATTTATCGTTATCGTATTCCTTTCTATTCCGTATTTCGTACTGCGCTGCGGAAAACCAAACATTTTCACTCAAAAAAGCCAAAAGTAAATAAATATTACGTTCTCTAAACATCTTTTTTTTATTTTCACTTTTAAAACTATATAAGAAAATGCGATCCGCTACACATGGCAAACTTGTGGCGAATGTTTCTGTATTTTTCTTGTTGATTCCTAGAATGATAGAAACCGAAATGAAAATTGTTTATAATTACAATAAAAGTTTTTCAGTAAGGTCCATGTATGACTAAGCATATCGCAATCTTTCACTCTATTACTCTAGGTAGTCTTCAGAAATATGATGAATATCAAACTGATGAGCTTTTGCTCATACCATCTCAGAAAGCTTTTCAAAGTCATGAACCATATAAGTCTCATATTTAGAAATTAATCGAATGTGGGTACCAATGAAATTTTTTCAAGTTTTTTCTAATAACAAATGAATGTTTCAAACAAGAAAAAATGTTAACTTTGGTTGCACCGAAGCTATATACCCTTCAGAGATGCATTTTTTATAGTATGAAAGGGTATAAAAAAGATTTTTGAGTTTAATCGGTCAGTTTGTATAACAGTTATATGCTATAGTTATATGGAAATTTCGTGAAGATACCTTGTTAAATAAAAAAGTTTTCTATACAAGAACTTGAGTTCCGTCGGTCAGCTTGTATGACAGTTAGGTGTGCGAGGTGTGTTTAAAAAAATAACGGGAATTTTCGTTTTTAGAAAAAAATATTTATACACTCACATTAATGTTGTCGTCTTTAAAATAGTCCCCATTCGATATTATTCACTTATGCTAGAGCTTTTTACAATAGTCGAAACACTTCTCAAACTCGATTTATGTGATAGCCTTTAACTTCTTCAGTGATTTTCATCAATTTTGTAAAACAACGTTCCTTTATGGTTATCTTTATTTATTGCTGAGGCATCGTTACAGTAATTATTTTGGTCAAGTGAGCTTTTAAGAAATGAAACTCGCCTAGCTCGTAAAGACACGTCTGACCTTATCAACTGCTACGGACAAGGTAAGCAATAAATAAAGCTGAAAATTTTATTCATATATGCAGAAAATTTAGTTGCAAGTTGCCATTAACGATGTTAGCTATAAAGACAACGGGGGAGATTGGAGCAAACTATATTTAATAAGCGCCATCTCCAACAAAACAATGAATCTTCTTTAATTACAACATTTTTCCCAATAAACGCTACGGCACTGTAAGATCCCGTTTTTTTTTTTGTACCAGATAGCGTGAGTAGCTAGAGTCACCATTGTCCGTAGAGGCTCTCTTGAAAAGAGCGATTGAGATTTTTTCTTTTGTGGCACTTTCTCGGTTAAGACTCGGTCTTTATTCTTCATATGATATTTTGACCTAGCTATTTAATAAAATAATCATTGCAGGACAATGTTAAAATTGCTTAAATTACAAGAATGATTTTTAGAAGTTAACACGAATTGGGAAAAGCGGAGAGGTTTTATGACAATTTAAAACCTCAAATAGTTTTCTCCGATTCTCCATCAGTTTTTGAACTATTTTCAATTTCCGAATCTGTGTCTATTGAATCGATTGAAAGAAGTGAATTTCGACTTCGCGAATATACGGATTGTGCGCTCTTTAGTATGCGTTCGTTATTCGTAACGTCAATTGCAATACGTAGTTCTTCCAAAAATGCTGCACCAAACGGCACCTAGAGAAGAAGAAGTAAATGTGTATAAAAGTTATGATTTTAAATCCCCGCAAAGGGTATGCACCTCATAATAGTTGGATTTCCTTGCCACATATATGCACCACATAATTAAACCATATATAAGAGATAATCCGCTGCCGACCCCAAGCACTAGATACACACCACCCAAATTCTTTAAATCTAAGGGATCGACTTGGCTGCTGTCAGATTTTTTCTAAAAATTATATTTAATTGTTATTCGAGAATTATTTGCAAATATATCATTGCCCAATACTTTACAAACACCAGCACCAACTTCGTTCCACCATTTATTTTTGAGTCGCGCCAAAACGCCTTGTTCCTGAAGTTCCAACAACGCGTTGTTGAATTTGTCGCGGTATGGCCAATCTAAAGATATAAATTAATATTTATAACGCATCTTCTGCTATGAAGTTAAATTTGCGGCATTGATTGTTTTTTCGTCGAGTTTTCATTGAAAATAATTAACTATCATATGGTAAAAAAGTACGGAAGGGCAAATTTCAGGAGTAACCGAACATTTTATAATCTCGCAATTTGCAAGGATCAAAGCCGGGAAATTCTTTCAGGTGTTGAAAACAAATAAAAATTCTTGCGGTAGAGTTCAAGATTCATTATTCAACGAAACTGTGAATGGATTACAATTATATTTGGTGTCTTATTAGCATAGGCTCACTTAGTTTAATTGCTACATTTTGCTTCGTATCCGAGATATTTATATTAAAGTCAACTTAATTAACTCAAATAAGAAAGAAATGTTCACTAAATTTTGTCAAGATACCACAGTTACGGTATAAAGCCAACAAGAAGTTTAAAATTCGCATATTAGGTATATGAAGGCAAGGGATGATAGTTTTGAACTTCATTGCAGTTTTGAGTTTCATTAAGAAAAATTGACCGATATATATACACATATGAAAGTCAACGGGAAGTTCGAAAATTTTTATATTGGATATATGGGGACTAGGGGAAGAGTTTACCTGATTTTAACAATTTTTGACACAAGAGGTGGCCCGATTCCGCCCATTTGGAATAACATCCTTCTCGCACGAACAAACAGACATGTGGAATTCAACTTGTCTTGTCATTATGATAATTTTAATGTGCATAACTCTATATCTCGAATAGTTTTAGGAATTATAAACTACCGTTAGATGAACAAAACTATTGTACCTACTCCATTGCCGCATGCTACGAGAGCATAATAAGATCAAATATTATCATTCCCATGAAATTTGATTTTTCGGAAATATATGAAGATCATTAACCATTATGATTCTTATAGAGAACGTTCCATTTAAAGATATTACAAGTGCGATACTTTTAAGCGATATGGGTTCCTTTAGTATTTCCAAAAAACTTTTTTTAAATACAATTTTTTCTTTATATTGAGTCAAAGCTAACTTGTTAATATTGTCCCCAGCCTCATTCCTTCCTACAATTCGCGGAAATATTTCGCTATATCTTAAGCTCTTCTTATTTGTTTTTGCCGAGGCTCACATACAAAACATACTTTTTACCATTGCGATGCCATATCCCTTCTCATCGAGTGGCTCGCCAACCTTCATTAATTTACATTCGCGCACAATGTGGTACTCAATTGATGTGGACTCCATTAAGAAAGCATAATTGTTATCGGATTTCACGCGATTTACTCCTTCAAGGTTTGTCTCGAAAAGTAAATCCGGGTTTTTGACCATGAAATCATTCATCTTCTTATAAGTTTCATGCTCGGAGGTCTAAAAAAAATATGTACATATTTGATGCTTATGAAAATAATGTTTAAATCAACAATTAAAAAAGATTCTTAGACCATACTGAAAAGAAACTTCGCGTGGAACCAGTTTTTTTAGCACCATATTTTACCGCTGTATTACTAGCTAAGTCATTGACATTATTTATAAGTCCAACAGGTTTCTCGATAGTTAAAAAAGCTGCCAAATTGGCAGTGTATGAAGATAGTATTATCAGGGTAAAGAACCACCAAATAGATGCAAGAGTGCGGGTAGAAAGAGACCTAAATAAAAAATGTTAACGTACATAAAATATGCATACAGTATTGTTTATATTTATGCGTGTGGTAACGACCAGTTCAAATATGTACGTACTTTGGTGCTATCTCAGAGCCTTGCTGTAAAAATGCCCCTGTTGTAAACCAAAAGGAGTTATTTAATGTAAATTGGTTCTCCAGTTCTTCGGGTTCTTCAATACATGGATATGGATTATCCCATTCAGTTGGAGATAATCGCCCCAATATGAAAAAACAAAACGATACACCAATATAGACAAAGCCCAAATAAATCCAAACTTGTCTAGAGAAAGGATCCATGAATGAAAAATTGTTAGCGGGCGATTTTTGTGGTTGAGTGAACAAAATCGCAATGCCTGGTTGAAAAAAGTTGCAGATATAATTTTCTTTTATTACATTTATAAGTATATACAATATATACTTACCTAAATTCATGAATGGAATAGAGAAATCAATTATTTCTTCGCGTTCCGATGTAATCGTCAAATCGGTAATTGCCAAATCTGCTCTCTTTAAATATAACGTTATAACGTTAATTATGCAAATTACATGAAAAATATACTTACACCTTCATTTAACTCTTTCATCATTCCTGTTGTCTTATTTGTCGTTTTATTAAAGCTGCCATAATTACTGCCCCCATCTATAAATGTATAATTGAAACCTAATTTTGCCGCTAACTCCTTTATTAGGTCTATGCTATATCCTTCATATTGGTTGTTTCCAACCAATTTCTTATGACTCTCTACTAAACTGGCGTAAGGTTTGTTCTAGTAATTTAGGTTAAATGTATTAAAAACAAGCACATTCAAAATATAAAACGAATTATCAAATATATGAATGTTTAAATAACCTAAATTCGGAAAAACCGAACAATAAATACTCTCACAAATTTAAAAAATATAAGGGTTTAGTTAGTGACCGACAAGCCGCCTTTCTGTAATGACAACGTAGAAATCAGTTGGACTCTTTTGATCACATTAAGGTGCTTATATTATGTATATGAAAACACCGATATGGTGTAAGATAGTATATTTGAAATCGGAGATAAAAAGCCTCAGTTAACATTTTTGCAAATTACTGTTTAATACATTTCGCTGCATTACCAAAATGTGTACAAGAATTCGTAAAATGTTACAAAACAATTAAAAGCGTTAACTTCAGTTGCACCGAAGCTATATAATACTCTTCACAATAGAAAAGGTTTCTTAGAAGAACTTGATTCCGATAGTTCAGCTTGCATTACAGCTACCGACCATTCCGACAAATGAGCAGCTTCTTGGTGAGAAACGGTGATATCCTAAATTTAAGATCGATGTCTAAAAACTGCGAGACTAATTCGAGTATATACAGACAGACAGATTGATATTGGAAACTTCAAAGAATCTGAAAAGTTATTTACGAATCATCAACTTATAAGAAGGCAGAATTTAGGCAATAATTGGGCCTTATAAATATTAATTTAATAATTTTAATTTATCAATAGACATTGTAAATTCTTGAAAGCATTTTAAAACAAAAAAGAACAATGTATTTTTTGGAGATCAATTTTGCTAAGTTATTGAATTGAAAATGTTCTATAAATGAATAAAAAATAAAGTAAACCTGCTTTCTTGAGAGATATTCAATGTGTCTATATGCTCCAAAAGTTGCCTGTGATTGGTCGATAGCCATGTATAATATACTGTGAATTATACACGGCTGCATAGTGAACACGATGGGTATCAATTTTATAAAATCATTTATTATTTCTGAACTATATTTTTGGTATTATATGAATTGTTTCAGTGAAAGAAAAATTAATGCAGAAGTATATTATGGCCAACAATAAATTTACCGTTTATAGCGTTGCTTGGAAGACATAAAACGATGATAAACCATTAAATTTGACTCCGGGTTTTACTGAGATTGCAAAATAGTTTATACCTAGTGAGCTTTACCAGGATATGGATAGATAGGTGGACATATAATATATTATTACCGTTCATTTCTCTAATAGAGAATTGTTTACCCTATGCAAAAAATAGCAATTATAGCATTTTCAAAATATTGCGAGAGTATAAACATTAAATAACAATACTCGTGTGTGTATGTATGTACAACCTACTGGCACTGAAATAAGAACACGAAATGTTCTGTTCACCAAAGAATTGGCATCAACCTCACTCCATAATTCTGATTGAGGTGAACGTTGAATTGTCAAGTTGTTACGTTCGTCCCAAGTGCCGATCTTCACAAGTCCACTAGTCTGCAGCTCTACAATATCTAGCATATAACCTTTTCGTATGTTTCCATCGAAGTATATAGGCCCAGTTATGGTTTTTTCTTGCATGTTAATCTGCAAGAAAGTAAATATTAATTTATAGAATAATTTTTATATCGTCACCTAAAAAGCAAAATAACGTAACATAACTTTTCATCACAGAGAAGGAAATGACGAAATAAAAACGCAAATACTCAGATTGAAAAAAAATCAAAATTAGCGAACGCTGCTATATTTTTATATTGAACTTCGATTTCTTTGCAAAAAGTTTCGTTAGTCAATAGTACAATAGTTAAACTGTTGTACCTTTGCAGAAAATCGCAATACAAAAAAGCTTGAAAAATATTAAAAAACCGACGCGAATTAAAGACTTTTTGTAAAAAATAAATAAGGTTTTACAATTTTGTTGAAATTGAATTAAATTATATTAATATAGGTATATTTTTAACCGAATGTATTTGATTATTTATTTGATAATTTTGTTTTATTATATGTATATAGGTAAAATATCTCATTCGATTTAAAGAATTTCTCGATTTTACGATTGATGTGCAACATAAGATTCGTTATATTGGACGACCACTGTATGTAATACGATACGGTCCCGTCAAATTAGGCAAAAAATTAGAGCTGAAAGTTAGTAATTTCACCTATTTTCAACATTAATCTATAGCAATCCAATATTATACGTTCAGTTCATTTTGCTAAGATATCTTACATATTGATCGATATATACGGTATAAAGCCAGACAGAAAGACATACATTCTGAGTTTATTAAGGTACTTCACATACAATCATTAATTAACCGGTTGTTTGAAAATCCTTATATTAGTTATATGGGGCTAGTGCAAGTTTTCACCCGATTTTATCCATTTTATGCACAAAGATACATTGGAAAAATACGCTCTTTGAATTTCATTAAGATAACTTACATATTGGCCGATACATGCGGTATAAAGTCAACTGGAAGTTCGAAAATCGTTACATTAGGTATTCGAGTCTAAGCCTAAGGGAAGTATTGAATCGATTCAAACCACCAACAGATTGACCGATACTTTCGATAAAAGTTTGCAATAGGAAGTTTGGTCCACATATTCGCTATCTGGGGGCTTGAACAGTTGTAGTCCGATTTAGACAATTTTTAGATTTGAGGTGACATACCTTATAGTTTTATCCAGATATATTAATTTGTGCTTGATTTTTATAGTGAAAATAGAAAGAATCAGATGGAATTTAAAATTGTGTTACATGTGAAGTAGGCGTGGTTGTAATCTGATATTATCCCATCTATAACACCGCCGTTTTTGAGATTTAATGATAATTTAATATGCACACATTTCCACGTCACCTATGAAGTAATGTACTTGGCGCGTTTTTTACAACTTATTAAATCATTATATCTCAGAAATGGTCGGTCTTAGGAAAAGAGTATTCATACATTTTATATAAGTACCCTTTTGATGCAGGGTTCCGTTTCATTGAAAATGGTGAAATGTATTTTTTGGCCTTTGCTCTCGACTATATTCTTTTCTAAATATCGGTACGATTAGAACTTTTAGTATGCTTTTTTTTAACACGTTTTGAACATATTCACTAACTTTCAGCTTGAATCGTAACAAATAAAAACTCAATTTTGATGATACATTGCTTTGCATTTTCAATTTTAAATACCGAACGCATATAGTTCTTAAATGTTGATCCATCAGTTTGCACTTGGTTGCTTTGTTCGGAACAGTTTAAGGCTTGTGGACGATATACTAAATTTTTTGTAGATGCGGCAAAAACTTGCACGGCATCATAAGTTAATGCCATTTCCAGAGTTATTGGACACGAACCTTGAAAATGTAATGAGAAAAATTAGTTGGTAATAATAAGTAAATTAGCTAAAGATAATTATAACATTTGTATATGTATGTATGTCTATATATATTTTTTTTCTTTTAATTATCCTCAGACATGTAAGGACATATCAATACATATATTAGATATTTATATATATATATTATAGTATTTGTCATCGATCATTTGCTTCGACGTGTTGCGTGAGCTTGATTTAACTCATTTTGAATTTCCTAATCTATAATATATACTTTACCTAGCTTCTACTGGACATCGATTAAAATTTCATTAACATTAATATAGTACATAAATATGTATGAACATGCAAGATGATTTAAAGCCATTATAAACAGTTCACACATCAAAAGATTCTGAGAGTGTTTATAGAAATGGCAAAAGCCAGATATAAATAGCGAAAGAAGGCATATTCAATGAATTCACTTTGAAATTAGTGGTATAATGAAATATTATAAAATGGAAAACAATAACTCTGATTAGAATTCAAAATAGTTCAGATTAGTAGAATTGAATTAATTTGAATCACCGTTGTGTCATTATTAAGCTTCTATGCATTGACTCTGTTTTTCAGCTTTTCAGTAAATATTACTTGATAAAACAACGAATTTTTTTGAAGAACCAGTTTGGTAAATTATTCAGTTAGAAACATTCGTAAATAAAAAAAAGAACGAAAGCATATGTAAATATTTTCTTCTAAGATATTCAATGTATTCAAACCCCAAAACTCGCAAAATGGTGTAGGCAACTACTGAAGATCAGCTTCCTGATCTCGGCATTTCTACATATTATAAAAAAGGTTGATAGTTGCTTTACTACTGCAGAGACCACTTTGTAAGTTCTTCAAAATTTTAGTAGTTAACTCAAGAATGACAGGAATCCAGATAAAAGCCCCGGTCTAATCTGTCTTCTAAGCTGACACTTAGTTTTGTTAAACGTATGGGAAACGTTTTATTATTAAAATTGTGTTAACGGTTTTCGAAATACTGACCATTGACTATTCGGTTATTATAATCTTCATTGTAATCCAATTGGGATATTAAATCATGAACGATGGAATGAGATGGAGAAAACATTCGAAATCCGGTCATGTTCGCCTCACTGTATTTATACTCTTCCAGATCAAAAGTTTGTAAGTCGAGATTACCAATAATATAGGAATATTTATCGTTAATTATTCCAACTTGTTGTGCCTTATGTCGAATGAAAGATAATAGGTAGTATCAGTAAACCTTCTAATGTACTATGTATATAATATATACAATACTCGTATCTAATTAATACCTGTCTTAATAGTTCAGCTACAGATGGTGTAGAGCCTACAACTACAATATGTCCATCTTCCGATTTGCGTACTCGTCGCAGAATTGCTTTGAAATTTCCATTTAAATTAAGATCGTACCGCAATACATTGATGACTGGTCCATCACTGACGTAGAATGACATTAAACCATTTAAAATGCTCAAATAGTCAGCTGTGAGAATAGGTTAAAATTTGATATGTAAATATGTATATAAGGTGTTTATTTACATGATTCATAAAGGAAAGTAAAACGTGTCCATTCGAATAAATTGATTATGTCGTGCAAAATACGTGCCAAATCTATTGGATTAGGGTATAAATTGAATCCCTCAACATTCTCACTCATATGTGGATATATATAAGGTACATCTTTAGCATCACACACTGTTAAGAGATGTGCCGATGTATGTCGTGAAGAAGGCCCAAAAATAGCCCCTATGCCAGTCTGTATGAAAAACACACATATTTATAATATTTTCATAAAAATGATCAATTAAGTACATATTTGACTTTATAATCTGCATATACCTTACATAAGTATATGTATAACTATAAAATTCTAACTACAAGTATAACGATTTACTCCACCGATTTTGAAGAGTTTCGCGAGATGAGCGATATCTCTTTTTTGAATTAGTTTTCGTAAATGTAGTAAATAAGAATTTAAAATATTTAGTAATTTATTAAATAACGTTTAAATTCTTATACTTAGTTAGCCATCGGACGGTATGCAGCTAATGTTAATTTACATATATGTTATTAGTGTTGTAATTCTTACCTGCATAAATTTGCAAAGTTTAGCATGTCCTTCTATAGAATCACCAATTTTTATTTCATCGTTATACCCTATCAAGGGTATCCCCAAATCGGTATTGGCTACAGTAATAGCATAGTTAAAAGTCTTTCGTAACTGCTCCGTATTGTGATCGGATATAATACCTAGTTAAATTGAAGAGAAAGTGAAGTTATTGAGAAAAGTACTACTTTAAAAGGTTTATATTCCGCTAAAAGATTAAAACTACCATATGTACATTTATGCTATATACAAGGTGCGTTCCAAAGTAAACAGGACTTTTAAAAAAGAGACAGAATAAATGGTTTTATCGGCAAAATCAATTTATTTTATTCAAAATAGTCTCCTTCTGCTTTAATACAGGCTTTTGCACGGTCCAAAAGCATGTCGAACGAGTGTTTTAGCTCGTGGACGGGTATGGCTGCCAGTATGCCGGCGCAAGCCTTTTGAATGGCCTCCACGTCTGCATAACGCTTTCCTTTCATCGGCAACTGCATTTTTCCGAAAAGGTAGAAGTCGCACGGTGCCATACCAGGTGAATACGGGGAGTGGTTGATTGTTAAAATGTGATTTTTGGTCAAATAATCGGCCACAAGCGTCGATCGACGAGACGGCGCATTATCGTGCAACAAACGCCAACTTCCATCTTCGCGATTTTTGGGCCGAACACGTCGAATACGAAAAATTCTTTGTGGACAATACCCTTTAAATCATAAAAATAAATCAGCATTGTCTTCACTTTTGACTTCTCCAGGCGCGATATTTTGGGTTTCGGCTCATTTCTCATTTATGTCCTCACGACCACTTTGAAAACGGTGAAACCACTCTTGCACTTTGCTACGGGATAGGCAATCATCGCCATAAACTTGTTTCATCAATTGAAACGTTTCGGTAAAAGTTTTACCAATGTTAAAACAAAATTTAATGTTGGCTCTTTGTTCAAAGCTCATTTTCGCACCGATGACAAAAACATACTCGCACTTAAAACGCAATAACTTCACTTCCAATAGATGAAATGTCATGAAATTTTTACTGAAGGTCGATGAAGAATAGCAGATTCTAACGCACTAGTCGGCATATAGATGGCGCCACTAGAGTTTACTTTGTTACTTTTTTACTGTTTACTTTGGAACGCACCTTGTATAATATGGTTACATATACTTGTATATATCTATGCACTCGTGGAGTATTACCGAACAGGAATAGAAACTCTCTTAAAGTTATTTGTAGTGTGGACGGGCGGAATATCGATTCGACATGTTCATTTTGAATATTTTTACGAATAACTCTATGTCTATCTCAAATATTCTATGGTGCTACAAACAGCTGTTCGACAAATAAAATTTTCATTATTAATACCACATGTTGCGGATGCACAAAAAGACAAATCACTGTTTATATGTTTAGAATAATCCAATTTTTGCTCTCACCTTTCTATTCTTGTTAAGGAAATTTTAAAAAAAATGGTGCTGGTAGCTACTAAAATGACAAAGTTTTTACTGTCTTCTTGATTCATTGATTATTTAAAATCGAAAACGTCATTGATATAAATACTTATACACATTTTAAACTCAAGCCAAATAAAGAATATATCAAAACATTATAAAAATGTAACCACTTCGCCCTCTGATTAGGTCACACTTACCAATCGAGATTCCTTCATTTTCGTCAATATGAGCGAAACCCTTCACATAAATAATAAATGTGTATATGAGTCCAAAAATCCAGTTATTTTTTATTCGCTGCAATTTTAAATTTTTTTAAATATTATAACTTTAGTTCCTGTCCATTTTTAAAATCTTTAGTTAATTATGTGTTGTTTACCATATTTTTTTTATGTTCTACGGAAAAACAGCGTTACTGACACATCCATCAACCAACGCACACGCAATAGCAACTGATTTGAAAATTTTTAATAATTACAAAAATATCTTGCTAGTTCGAATAACTCGAATGCGTGAACATACGTACAAGCAGATGTATCGGGCATATTTCTAAAACCGTTCGTAGCTTAAGACTATTTCCATGCATATTGCATTTTGGAGCAATTCCAAAAATATTGATGTACTATATATTATATAAATGTATACGTTGTGCCGCAGTGATGATTTCGGTTCAATTTCATCAAAATGCAACACTGTATATAATATATTTCGGTTTATTTTCGATTAAGGGAGCATATGTGTCTACCACACATTATATTATATTACAATATATTCCTGTCCGGAAATTTGACCGAATTTAAACTACATATTTTCTTTTCCTGTGTGTCAATTGCTGGATTTTTTTAATTTTAACATTTAACATTTTATACTCTCGCAGTTTTGAAGATCAGGGGTTGTAAAATTTTATATTAAACAAGTAAGGAAGGGCTAAGTTCGGGTGTAACCGAACATTTTATACTTTTGCAACTTGCCAGCATCAAATACCTTCAGATGCTGTCAAAACTGTATATTAAAAAATGTTGCGAAAGAATTTATCATTCATTATTCCAAGAAATCGTTAATAAATTACAATCAAATTTGGTATCTTCTTGACTTCTATTGGGTATCGGTAACTTAGACTTAATTATTGCTGCATTTTAGTTCACGTCTGCTAAAATTATATTACAAACCTCTTCAAATGAGATACATGTGATATATATACTGTTTCAGTAGATGTGGAAAACGTGAACCAGAGGATAGGAATTAATTATATTAGGGATATGCGGTTTAGAACAAGGCATTTTAACTAACCTCAACGGTTTATGCTATTCTCAAAACGTAATCCTGGGTTGTCATTAAGAGAAGCTGCAGTAGCGAAAAATTATTTGAAAATGGTTTTCTGAGCTGCTTAATTTTTTGAAGAATACTAAAAACGAGGAAGACCCATCACGCATTTTGAATGGCGATGAGACTAGCTTTTCTTTATGTCCGAAAACGGGAAATGTTGTAGCACCGAAATATTACAAAAACATCTATCTAGCGTCTGCGTCAGAAAATGATACCATAACAGTATTAGTTGTTATATCCGCTAATCGCACTATATTTTCCCTGATGGTTATCTTCCCTTACTTAAGGCCACCAAAAGATGTAGTAAATATCATTCCAGATACCTGATTTCTAGACCGTACTGAAAGTGGGTGTATGATGGGTGTTGATGGATTCGTAATTTTCAATAAAAACTTACGTTTTTCTTTAATACAGTTTTGTTTTCTAACAAAATATATATGATCTGGATCTTTGATGTCTGGTTATTTCAAAAAAAAAAACTTTTAATAAAAAAAATTAGCATTGGCATAAATAAACTACAAGTAGTCAAAAGCATTGTAAAAGATTTTGTGTTTTTTACAAAATATTTTTCAATGGAAGGAGGCGACGTAGGTAGTGTGAGAGGAGTATGGAAAGTGTGATTATTTGTAATATTATTTTTTTACATATTATATTTATATAGTGCTAAAAGATAAATTTCACTTTGATATAGGCCGTTGGCCGCTGATTCCATGCAAGACCGACCACTGTGCACTGCCTTGAAATGAACATAACCCATGCAAAATTTCGTTAAAATATTTTTTCAATTGAAAAATTTTCCATACAGTTTGTATGACATCTCTTTTTTATAGTGAATCGATCTGAAAAATATCTTTGGAGATTGTATAATTGTCTTAGGAAATAATTCATGCCAAATTTTTTGAAGATATCTCCTGAAATGAAAAAGTTTTCGTTGCTTTAGTTTGTATGCCAGCTGTATGCTATAGCAATCGGATCTAAACAATTTCTTCGGAGATTACACCATTGCCTTAAAAAATTACTCATTTAAAATTTCGTGAAGATATATCGTCAAATGAAAAATCTTTCCGTATAAGCACTTTATTCCGATCGTTCAGTTTGAATGACAGCTATATGATATAGTAGTTCGATATCCGTCGTTTCGACAAATGAGCAGTTTCTTGGTGCGAAAAAGATGTGTACCAAATTTCAGATCGGTATCTCAAAAACTGAAGGACTAGTGTGCATATATACAGACAGACAGACAGACGGATAGACGAACATGGTTAAAATGACTCAGGTCGTCACTCTGATCAGTTGTTTACATATATACTTTATAGGATCTCTGACGTTTCCTTTTGGGTGTTACAAACTTTGCGGCTAACTTAATATACCCTGTTCGGGGATAAAAAGGTAACTAACTTAGATAAAAGCTGTATTCTACTAGTATTTCATTTTTGAATATATGAAGATGGAAAACATGGCCGGAATAAGAGTACAGCTGACGGTTAGTTAATCGTATTCATCAGAATGCCCCAAATTTATCACTTGTCAAATTTATCGCGTTCTTTTCCAGTAAATATCGAAATGGATTTTGAGCGTCATTTTCGGAAACGATGTAAAAAATGAAAAAAAATATTCAGAAAGTTAGATTCGTAATACTTGTAGTATGTAGAGAGCTATGCGACATCTGTTGGAAGAACTCATACTTTTCCTGTTATCTTTAATCTTAAGGGTTAAAAATTAATCCACAGATCACACAAAAGATCGGATATTGGCGTGAAATATTAAGAAGTCTTGTCAGCACCATAAAATTTAAAATCCACGGATTTCACCTAAAATTTAATTTCAACCTCTTAGTTTTCAGGCATTGGCACTACAACTTTCAACAAAGCACAAATTTTGTAAAGAAGCTTTTCTTTAAGTCATTTATGAATTGATCAGTACACTTAAAAACAAAACTTCCACTTAGGAGTTGGTTTGTTAGCGTTTAATTTTATTGGTGAGCTAATATATAATACATGAAATCAGATGATATCGACTTGAATGTAAAAAAACTCATTTTGAAAACTCAACATTGAAAAATATCAATCAATATCTTCCTCTACTAGCAGATATCAGCCTGTCCCTTCGTATATCACGAAATATACGGATTATTTATTAATGAAAGGTGATAAGTTCACCTCTTGTATAAGATGTTGTTGAATAAAAAGCTTGTTAAAGTGGGGTAATCACCCACGTTGTATTTACATATATTATTTCTATTACTTTTTACTCTTCGATTATCACAATATATATTATATGGATTATGTGTCGATATATTTATTAAAATAAATTAATTATCATAGTAATACAATTTTTGATTTTTTTTTTTTCATTAAGTATAAACACATACATATTGGTTTATGTATATGTACAAATACAAAGATATATATGCACATACATAAATAGTGATATATGCGGATATATGTGATACTTTGGGTATCGTTCAAAACTTTTACTACATAATAAAAATGGCATCTACAATTTGGTAAGCGAAATTAAAATTACAAATATTCTTATTATTCATATTAATTTTTAAACTGAAATAAAGTATGTTTATTTATCCTCCTAAATAATGTATTTTGTGATGTTTCATAGAAACTAAATACACACTCATACCGATTAATCGCTATTATTACCAAACGCTGCATTTGTGAACTGGGTTCATTGGGGAACCTTCTGGACACTTAAATTCCCTAGCAAAATCTTTTGAATTTGAAAGTGTTCCTATGACGCGAAATCGGCCAGGACTATGTATAGCGGTGTTTAGTTTATTGCGTACCGCTTCTGGTCGCATGGCCCCACACCACACTTGTCCAAAATTGAGAAAAAATAGTTGTTCGCCAGTCATGTCGATACCGGGAAGTCTCTCATCAGCAGCAGCTTGCGGATTATTTTTTAACCAGGCTTTGTAAGCATGGAAAGCTTGGCGTAGACCCCCATTGTCAGCGATATTTTCACCTACGTAAATATAAAAGTAAAATTGTTAATTTTACATTTGCTTTGATATTTTCAGCGGTAAGAACTCCATATATTTATTCATATTCAATGAATTCTATACGTATAACATACAATAAATCTATCGATATATCGTCACATGAATTCAAAAAAGTCCTAAGTTTAATTTTATAAAATTTAAAAGAGCAGCAAAAAACATAAACACAAAAACCCCAAAACAAATCATGTTTTATTAAAAATATAACAAAAGAAAAACTGATAAAGAAGAACACACACAATGCCATTATCTTTATTATTTCTCTAAGATACTGTCTTGGATGGCAAATTTGTTTCTGATTTGCACTGACGGCCTTTTGAAGTTTGTTTATAGCAACGTTATTATTGGCTGTTGGATTATAAAATTTTAAAGAAACATACATATATTATGATACGATACATGATAATCAATTTAAAAGTCGATTTTGAATTTGTAACTTAGCGCTTTTTTGATTTCATGTGACATAAATGTGATATAAATTACGTGTCCAGTTTTCTCCGGGGTAAACTCCCAAAGTACTGAACCGATTTTAATAACCCAATGATGCAGCTTACAAGATAGGATCGTTAACATCTCAATTATGTTAAAATCAAAACTATTCATAGATAAAAAAATAATAATTATAATTTTGAGTAAAATGCCAAATGAAAAATTTGTTATTGACAAATACCATATTTGTATTAATCATTTTCAAAATTTAACCTCAAGTACAAATCCCTTAGATTCATATAGCGGCAATAACGTTTTCGCTATTATTCGTAAAGAATATAGCTAAAAGACTCCTCCCACGTCTTGCTTTGGCTAAGATGTTATTAAATAATATTACACTGTTTTTCACTACGAATAAATATACAATCACAATCACTTCAATGATTACGATCAAAATACGATCACGAATCGATTGTAATGTGATAATGTAAATCAGCACCCCGTCTTTACGTACCTACAAGTATAACTTACTGACGGTACTTAGTACTAATATGCCATATAACGGTGCAAGAGGAGAGCAGAATAGGGCGCGTCGCGTGTGCTATATCTAATTATATGGTAATGTTTTGTTCAACATTAATCGAATGTAATTTCAAAATCGACGGTGATTTTGGAAAAAATGCCTCCGTTAAGACCTTTTGCAGGAATAAACGAATAACTGCAAATTTTCACGTCTTTCCGTGTTGTGGTTCGGACATTCTGCGAGTACATTTCCGTTTAATTTTGATAATAAGAAGAAGTTAATACCATGACCACAGAAACGCGTGTCCGGTCTA